GCCTGATTGGTGATGGTATTTGGCAAAAATGCCAATTAGGCACCAATCGGTTACCAATCAGGTACCTGATTGGTGACCGATTGGTGACTGATTGATGCCTGATTTTTCACTTTTTGACCTGTGGAATTTTCATTGGAATAAAGACAGATACATACATACTGGCAAGGATTTTTGTATAGAACGTTACTAACGTTCATTCTTTTTCTAGGTTATTTCTTTTTGTTTTTTTTCTATAACTGAAATGTATCTCTTGGATCTTATATTGAGATATTGCTCAAAGATGTAAAAAGTAAATAAATTTACCTTTTAAGAACATTTACTAGTGTTCTTTTGTAAATTCCTGCCTTTGGATTTTGAATATAGAACTAGGTAAATATTTGGCCAAAGACTTTTTTGTCTCCCTTTATTTAAACCAAAATAACATACTATAAACTGTAAACATAAAAATTAAATAAAAACAAATACAAATACAAATACAAATACAAATACAAAAATAAAAACAAAAACAAAAATAAAAACAAAAACAAAAATAAAAACAAAAACAAAAATAAAAACAAAAATAAAAATAAAAACAAAAACAAAAACAAAAATAAAAACAAAAATAAAAATAAAAATAAAAATAAAAATAAAAATAAAAATAAAAACAAAAATAAAAACAAAAATATTAATAAAATAAAATTAATAATAAAATATATGTCTAAAATTATAAATATAATTGAGAACAGAATAAAAAATATTATTTTGGAACTATCAATCCAGTAATTTTTTGTTTATGTATAATGTAATCTTATCAACTTTCTTTTTTATTGGAATCTAATCCTCATATATGTATTTCCTTACAAAGGTATCTATTGATTTTTTTACCAAAAAGACTGACTTTTGTAATCGATCTATTTTTTCTGTTTGTAAATCTTTAACTTTATTTGAAAGTTTATTTGAAAGTTTATTTAAATTGTCCTTTACTTTGAATTCTGAAAGTTGATTTAAATTGTCCTTTCACTTAGATTCTGAAGTAATTTTATCTGTTCAAGAAATGCTTCTTCTTTTTTTTCATAAAATAACTTGTTCACATCTTGGTTTTCATATTAATTCTTTAAATACTAAAATAAATCGAATTAAAATATTAGCCATGAGTGTTTATACCTCAGCAAGAGATATCTTAAAGTCTTTTTGTAATTTTATTGTTAAAAAGGTTTTAACTTTCACTTCTAATGCCAACTGTTGAAACTTTTGAAATTTTTCTGATTTTACTATAACTCCTAATATGTTTTGTAATACTTTTCTAATAAAATCTTTACCTTAACCTCTAATTTGTTTTTGTTTAAAACATATTAAACATGGGGCCCGAAACCTCTGAGAGGATTTCCGAAAGTTTCGGGTTTCGGAATATACGAATCGAAACCTCACCCGAAACCCTAAACAAGTTCCGAAACCCTAAATAAATCCCGAAACCCGAAACTAATTTCAGTTATCTCGAAACTAATCCCGATATCCAGAAACTCGTTGATTGGATAATCACGTGGCAATTTAAATAATTAATAGATCGATATTCAATATATCATGTTTGATAACCATCTTTACTTTTTACATTCAAGCCTTTGGCTGTATCACATTAATTCACCTGATATAGTTTTTCTTTTAATTTTATTAATTTTCATTCTTCTTTTAATATAGATATCACTTCCCTAGTATAGTTTCTACACCTTACTATGTTATGGACTAGCAGGCCATGCCTTCTCGTCTTGGGAATAACTGAAAAGGTGGGCGGCTTCTCAAGTGGGAGTTTCATACAATTATATATTTTGATTAGTATTCATATTTTATTATGTAATGTCTTAAATCTCTTGTATGACAGTCTATCTATAACATAAAAATAAAAAATAAAAATAAAAATGTTTGGACTTAATTGAGAAGTCTTTTTAATAAAATGTCAGATAGTAATTCAATATTGTTATAATTTTAGTTATTTTAATAAAAATTAATTAAGTAAATTAATAGGTTTCGGTTATATTTCGGTATATAAAAGTTTCGGGAATTTCGGGTCAGTTTCGGGTTTTGAGTTTCGGGAAAAAAACACCCATCCCGAAACTAAGTTTCGGTATATACCGAAACCTAAAGGGTTTCGGGAGGTTTCAGTTTCGGGCCCCATGTTTAAAACATATAATTATAGATTCTTTTATTGTAATCTCTAATATTTTTTCCCAAGCCACCTCATATGCCTGACATTTAAATAAATGATTCTAATTTTCCTTCTTATTACATTTCATAATAAATTTCATTTCTTTGTAGAGTCTTGGTTTTTTTATTGCTAAAATAGATTCTAAAGGGAAATAATTTTGCTATAAAAGTATCGTATGCTAATGTAGTGAAATCCCTTGCAATAATGAAAAATAAGCCAAGTAACTTTTCAGTCTATCTGATTAACATCTTTATAACATAATTCCTGATTATTTTTTAATAATAACCATTCAGTGGCTTCACCTATAGCTAATATTTTCAAAATAAATCTTCTAATATTGATTTCAATAGGATTATCTATAAAAACAGGAAAATAAGATAATATATTATTAATAAAATCTACATTATTCCTAAATAAATTGTTTTCACATTGGCCTTTCTTTGCTAATTTATCAGCTATATCATAGGACCCCGGATATCTCCAAAACAGGTCATAAGTCACACTTTCGGCAGATTGGCCCATTTTTCAGGGGCTCAAAAAATCGTTTTTTGTAAATATCTCGGCATCCAGTGGTCCAATTTTGATG